GGGTGTGTGTGGGTGTGTGTGTAGATATTGCACTATCACAGGCTGTTGTAGTTGAATGTAGTTCATCTCTTCATCTATCAGACTGTTTGGAGTTTGATGTTTGTCATTTATTTTGTTTGCACATACATTATTTAGTGTGCGTTTAGTGTGTGTGTGTGTGTACACTTAAAGCACTCAATAAAGACACAAGAGGGGATAGAGCTTCAAAGCTGTAGTACTAAACCTACACACAGCCATACAGTATGTACATGACACTTTTTTGGAACAAATTTCTTTCTCCACAGCTCCTCTCCATGGTCACGGCCTTTATTAACCTGGATGTTTGCCATGTTACCACGCCGATGTGACGGACGACATCAAATGAAACCAATTCAAATGATACCATTTGGACTTGAACATTTAAGACTAAAAAAGAGAAAAGAATAATATTCACGTTTTGTTTAAACCGCAACAAAACCAATTGCAACAACAGCGACCAGAGCAACAAGACCAAATGCAACAGCAGCAGCAGCAGAATGTGGACAGAGGGAGAGATCTCACTACTTCAGTATTGTTGCATCCAGCGTCTCCTCTAGTGTTACAGTGTCACAACAACAGAAAATGACAAATTGTTGAGCAGGAATGCAATAGTCAGCGGGCACTTTATAAGGTACACCTGTACAAACAAGGTAGATGCTAGGTGTTTGTAGCCAACAATGCTATTTGCACCAGGGGAGAATAGCCAAAATTAAAGTCAACAGGTCACCTAGGTTGCAATTCGAACCCTGGTGGTTTAGGTATGAAATTTCATTTTTAAAATGCAGTTATTAAATTCATTTAAGGACAGACAAATCATTTACTGATTGACACACTGAATACGTTTTTTAAAGCTACTTTTAAATTGTATTGATTTGGAATGGCACACTCTAGACTCTATATTTGTTAAAACTATAACTCAGTGAGACACACTGCTTGTTTGATTGATGTGATGTAAAAGGTACGTTCACGTTCCTCTTCAAACCTACAAATATTTGCTCCATCTCCGATGAATTTCTATTGAAAGCCAATTAAAACACTGATGCACTGTGTTTGGAAATAGAGAAGTTATTATTTCAGTGTCATCACTATGATTAGCACACTAACACACTAAAAAGAGCCAGGGACGTGCCAGCAGCACGTCCTTTTTTGGGACAGAGTGGAGGTACATTTTGTTGAATGGAGGACTAATGTGACCATACCTTAACACTATGGAATATTAGTTTCTGCATTTTACTTTTGAAGTGTGAAAACCTGCTCAAAGCAGGAAAATCAAATTGAATAGAGTCAGCTGATAGCAACGCTAACTAGCTAGTGGTCTGTGTTACTTTAGTCCCGGTGACAAAGAGCAGGTCCCTAATGGAGTTTAAAAGCAAATAACAAAAGCATACTAACAAAAGACTTAGTTGAGGTAGTGTAGTCGAGATAATCCAGGGAAATGAACAAAATTGAATTACTCAAATACACTAGACAAAAATTACTAGAATAGAATAAACTGGGCATGTTTGTAAGGGCTTGTGGGTACCTATAGAACCAATTTTCATTCAGATATCCTGAGGTCAGAGGTCAAGGGATCTATCGATGTCAATTTTTCCATCGCCAAAATTGCCTTACTTTGGAGCGTTCTTTTTAGGGCTAGTAGGCTAGCAATGGATGCCTTGGATCATCAAGTTTCATATGATACCAGTATTTCGACCCACATCAAGATGCCAACTGTGTAAGGGCTTACATAAAAAATAATAGGTGCTTTGACCTCCATTTTGTGTGTTGTTAAACCTTCCCTGTTCAGTCCCGCTACTCTAAGGAAGAGAAGAGGTTTTAGAGGCCAGTTGGTGAGAACTGTCTTGCAAAAAACAGGATAGACATATTAAATGCAACGAAAGTGATTTAAAATGCCTTTTTCACCGCAGACATTTTGACTTGTTATAGTAGGAAAAGCATATGTGTTACTAATACCATTAACAATGGCTCTGCTCTGTTCATGTGTCCCAGTAAGCAGTGACAGTTAGCCAGCAGGCACAACACAAGGACCCTGAAACCGAAGCAGCCAAATGGAATTCAACCATCATCAATTGTATAATTTCCCACCTTTTCACCATCCTACTGTGACATGTCGAAATGTCCTCTGCGAAAAAGGCCTCATAGCAAGTCCTTTTTCATTTCATTGCAACTTAAAAGAGCAGGCTGGAGTGCTATCTGAACACAGCCTCTGATACACAAACAGTACTCTCATGATCACACAGTAACTCTGTACATGTAAATACACTAACACTCAATAATACACCGCTTTTATCAGTAAACTATACTAACACTCCGATACTTTGAACTTTGGACTCTTCACAGCAGTTTGAACCATTAAAAATGAATTTAAACGACACAGTGTTGTAGTGTGTGGGTGTTTGTCTCTGGAAGGTCACTGTCTAGGCTGCTTTTAACTTACCACTAGATTGCAGCCATGAAAACTGCAGCATATGTAAGATAGTAAAACAAAAAACTAAATTTTAAGACATTTTGCAAGAAAAACTGGTTGTACTGAAGGTAACTCTGAACGGACCACTAAAATGTAGATCTGTTTAGTAATATACAAACTGATCTTAAAAACAGAATTTTCAAACTGTGATTGAAATCACTCTGTATCATTGTCTGGTTAAAAACATAACTACCCCACCCTCAAAGTCTCCGGTTTGCTGAGACACTCTTCTCATTAGCTCTGCAACAGCTAAAGGTCTAGTTTGTAGGATTTAGTGGCATCTAGTGGCAAAGTTGCGGATTGCAACCAACTGAATTCCGCTCACCTTCCAAGCCTTTGGGAGAGACTAAGGTGGCTGCGAAACATATATACCTATGAATATACCTATGAATATTATACTCTGTTTCAGCTGCACACTGGACGTTTCAACTTGGTAATTTCTTGGTGCAACCCATTTCAAATTAGTGATGTATAAATCTGCACTTAGTTAACACTAGTACTTAGTTAAGTACTGGGCAAAGTTTGAACTTTGAAAGTTTGTAGACTTGTTCTACACATAATTAATTGGCAGAGCTTCCGGGTCTGTAAAGTGATGCCAAAATGGAAGTGTCTTAAGCTTGCATTCTTTCTAATGGCCAGCAGGGGGCAGCTGTCATGGGTTTCAAAAAATAAGTCTCAATGGTATTCTCTTGAGTCTTATGTAGAAATGAGCTTACTTCTCTCTTATTAGCTCAGTAAACAGTTTCCTGATGAGTTTATAGTCTCAATCTTTAGTTTCAGTCTTCTTCCATACATGATGGTCCCATTTAGAGTAAATTAGACCATAAAGCAGGGTATTCCTTTAGGGTGTGGCTACCTTGTGATCAGGGTTGGGAGGGTTACTTTAAAAATGTAATCCAGTTACAAATTACCTGTTAAAAAAACCTAATCCAAGTATAACAATATTAAAACAATGTAACTTGATTACTTTCTAAATAAAAACAATAGATAAGAAAAGTCAATAAGAAGTATTGATGCAAGTTTATTCTGTAAGACAACAGAACAATGTAACTGTTGAAAACAAAATGGAAACGAAAAAGTTGAAAGATTTTTAGCATCAAAAATGTGTCCTCTGCTCAGTGTATTTTTAAAGAAAAACATTTATTTTACAACAGTAATCCTGCTAAATTATCCCCCATTTTTACTACTATTACTATGTTTGTGTTTTTTGTTTTTTCTGTAAGTGATTTCAGTTATCTTTTTTTGTATCCTGATTATGTAACTCAGTTAGATGTAAACCATTTCCATGTCTCAGTAAGGCCATCCGGCTCAATGCACCAAACTCAGATCAAACTAGGCAGTGCTGATCAGATACGAAGCAAGATTCTGTTACTGCACTGACTATTTCTATCCTCATTCTATCCGGCCATAATGCTGGTTTAAATGGTTGATATAAAACATGTTTAAATAATAGAGCTATATGATGCAGATGAAGTATCAAACTGTTGTAGGAGAAGAACTGAACCTTTAGACCTTCAGTGTTCTCACTGATGGGACCAACTTTTGTTTAAAAAAACAGAGCAGCAGCATGAAACATAGCGTGTGTGTGTGTGTGTGTGTGTGTGTAGGCGTGTTTCCAGTAGTTCCTGCCTACCAATTTCCAGCAGTGTTTTCTCAGCTGCAGTTTCCATGAGAGAGAAGAGAAAATGTTTTCATGGATTTCCTGCTATTACACCTCCTTATCCCCCTCTGCTTTCTTCCTTTTCACTCCTGTCCTCTCTCCCCTCTTCTCCTCTCTTCTCCTCCACGTTGACTTCAGCTGACTGAAAACACACCTGGTGTTGGTATAAGGTGTAGTCTGTTCCTTTAGGCTGAGTGGCTCCATTCATGATCCTGAGTGCTGACACAGCAGTCACACACAGTATCACATTTTCATACTGATTGACCTTGTTGAAAGTAGTTAAAGCTGCATTAAGTGACCAAAACAAACAGCTACAATCCTCCATAGACTACATCCGCTCATCAAGTTCTAAAGGCTAACACATTAAGAAAAATTGTTCTACCAAAATCAGATGCAGAGAAGCATGGTCCATTACAGTCCATTTTGTGTTAACTACTGTCAATCCAATATTTACTTTAGCTCAGGTTTGGTCCCATTTTTTCTGGGGTTGTAGCCCCGGTTTGGTCCAGTATTTGTTGGTGTTTTAACCCTGGCTTAAACCAGTATTCTTTGGTGTTTTAACCCTTATTGGTTAAATACACTTTGGTGTTGTACCCCTGGTTTGATCCAGTACTTGTTGGTTTTAACCCTGGCTTGTAACAATAGTCTCTGGTGCTTTAACCCTGATTTGGTCTGGTACTAGCCAGTGTTTTATCTCTGCTTTTGTCCAATATTCTATGGTGTTTAAGCCTTAGTTTAGTCCTATATTTGCTAGTGTTTTAGCCCTGGTTGAGGCCAATATTTGATGGTGTTATAGCCCGGATTCATGTCAATATTCTCTGTTGTTTTAGCCCTGGTTTGGTCTAATATTCGCTAGTGTTTTATCCCTGGTTTGGCCCAATATCTACTGGTGTTTTAGTCCTGGTTTGGTCCAATATTATCTAGAGAAATATAGGCATCAAAATTAAAAAAACGTTTTTATTCATTGGTGAAATTAATCAAATTGATTAAAACACACGCTTTATCAGTACAAGACACAAAGTGATTTTCATCAGACGTCATCATCCACACACGCACAGAGTACTACCAGGTTGGTTCCCACAATACCTCAGCGAGTGTTTTGTCCAACTTGCTGCTCCAGTTCACATCATTAAACAATAGAAAGCACACACAGTAAGTGGTTCCAGTGGTTTATGGAGCAGTGCTGCGTCAATGCTGACCTCCAACTGCCCACAAAACAGGGATTGTGAGAAGGAGGGAGAGATACGCAGAAATGTCCTGGTCTAACAATCCTCAGAAGTGGAAAGTACCTGAGGTCATTTAGTTAATTACAGTACTGGAGAACATTTTTAAATAGTGGTCTTGTATCTGAGTATTTCTCCCATATCACTTTCTACTTCTTAATCCAATAAATTTGTCTGGTGGCTATATTTTATACTCAGAGAGAAACCTTGTAAAATTTGAGCTAGATGGAATTGAAACAGTATAATTCAGGATACAAGCTTCACTCCTGACCAAACAATGGTATAACAGTAAATTACAAATACATTTTGTTTTGAATAATTTCATTTAGTTCCTTGCAAAGTTTCACAATCAGTGACTATGGTTTGTTCAAGGGATATGGTGAATCATAAATGGTAAATGGTAAATAGACCTGTATTTGTA